GTAAATACATTACATTCTAAGAGGAAACAGCTTCTAGTCATTGCCAAGCCACAGAAAATGAACAGCCATTCACAAATATGAGGATCAATGAAGATGTCCAATATATTTCAACTATTCTGTGCACTTCTGGGGACGAACCTGAATGTTTATATCCCTGCATTCAACAGCTCAGACACTGGAAGGCTAACAGGCATCCTATTTGGATGATAGATGCTACAAGACAATAAAAGACAAGCTGTCTATGGCTATTAAACCATGACAGATGAGTTGTCAGTACCTGCAGGTATACTTTAACATGGCAGTGAACCAAGAAGCACTCTGAATCACCTTCAAAATATCCTTCAACATACATTTAAGGCAGTCAAAACCCTGCTCATTCAGTCCATATATAAGGTGAATAGAGGTGAAGTGGGACACAATTTGTCAGTGTAATTTTTAAAACATAATCCAAATGGCTACAATGTCATCCTGTAGTAATTTAAGATAGAATATACACATTATTATAGGATCAGCTATATTACCGTTCAAAAGCTTGGGGTTGATAAGTTTTTTGAAAGAAGTCGCTTATGCTCACCTAGGCTGTATGTATTTGATCAAAAATACAGTAAAAACAGTAATATTGTGAAATATTATTACAATTTCAAATAACTTTTTATATATATATTTTAAAATGTAATTTATTCCATCATTTATGGTGACGATAAAGCTGAATTTTCAGCATCATTACTCCAGTCTTCAGTGTCACATGATTCTTCACAAATCATTATAATATGCTGATTTGGTGCGCATGAAACATTCATTATTATCAATGTTTAAAATGTTTTTTTTTTCTTCAGGACTCTTTCATAAATAGAATGTTAAAGAACAAATTATTTGAAACAGAAATCTTTTATAACATTGTCAATATCACACCACTATCAGACTCCATTTCGACAGAAATTACAGAATGGTCACTTCTGCCCACAAAGATGCAGCCCTTCTGAAATCAGTTTTCTGTTTTAGCGCTTAAACTAGCTTTGTAGTATTTTAGTACTCTGGGATAGGGAAGTGGTCATTTTTTGCATGGTAGCATGATTCCACATAAGTTGATTTGAAAGAAAAAAACATAACATTAAAAACAAAATTATGGTGCTTCGCAAACCAGAAGAAATGCAGAATCAGCGACATTCTACATGCTGCAAACGTAGGTTTTGTAGCGGGTTAACAAGGCTGGTTATAGATTACCACTCGCAGGCGACCTCACCACAGCTGGCGACAGCCAAACTATTTATCTTGGCAGTCCTAACAGCTGGCTGATGAGAAGATTACCTGGCACCACAGAGACAGACTGTGCCAACGTACTGCAGATTAAAGGATGTTCGAGCGTTTATGGACAAGGTGTTAATCCAAAGTGATGCAATCACATTCAGGCCAGGATGAAATACTCTCAAACCGGCAGACCGCATTACTCAGGAACAAAGAGTTTAATTTCACTAATATTAACCTGAAAATATGCAACAAGAAAACAAGAGGTTCCAGAAAGGGGCTTTTCGAACAAGCACATAGAAGTTGATTCTCATCTCTTCCTACAAATCAAAAAACAACAGTTTGTTATTGCATGGCAGTTTAACCATGAAAGACAACACAAGAGTTTAAAAGAACATACTGACTAAACACGATTGCTGTCAGATATATGATGTGAGATATATAGAATATAAATGATTCAAGATGTTACTGAAAATTAACTTGGTTATTTCATTATGCATAACGCTGAAATAGTGCTGAGACAATGGAATCAATAAAGATATACAGTAAATGAGAACAGAAAAAATAAATATGACTTTTAATGTAAATGTCAAAGATACTGTATAGACTAAATCTGAATGTGTAACTTGAACATAAAACTTCCAAATCCAGTCCTGTGAAAGACAGAGCTCATATACTGTAGGTAGATAAGGTAGAAGATTAGATAGATACAAAATTTTGTTTTAATCAAACACCATATCAGCACAAACACCTGTGAAATGTCTGTTTAAAGTGCACCATTTATAAACAATACTAATAAAAAAAAAAAGTTCCCAGGACACATTTCACTAGAGTGATTTAAAATGAAAAATGCTCTGTCACTCTCTTTGGGGGGATTTTGTAAGAAACTTCAGTTGTTAAGCAAAGTGCCTATCGTGATAATCAATGTAAA